TACTTTTTGAATAAAGTAAGAATTATATGTCACGGGGGGGGGGGGGGGGGCCATAGGGGTTTTAGGGATACTTGGGGGGGGCAGGGCCAAAAAAAGGTTGGGAACTGCTCTATATAGTACTGTGAACTACTTGAACCAGAAACTGAGGGAGCCCAAAGTGCAGACATGAACGACACTGAAGTTATTTCCTCCCACCCCACATTTCTCCCTTGATTTGAGTTTCCCTTTCAGACCTTGAAATCATGTTCTCTGGCCTCCCATGATTACTTTCACTTTCTCACATGATGCAGGCATAGCAAATTAATTATGTCAGCAGATCTAACTCTTATAAACCGCACAGAATTTGTCGTTAGCTAACTTCATACTACACAATTTATATAATTAACCCATTTTATGGGGTCACATAAGATATCAAATCATTAACTATCCAACAAACTATTTACCCATTAAGCACAGAAAAACCTAACTAGGAAAAACTAATTTATAGGCTGGGCACACATATTTACTAGGCCTTTCACTGACCTAATTTAGTGGTTATGCAACTCTACTGTATGGTACCTGCTGAAATAAACTAATTAGTCCATAATTTGTCACAGCAGTCTATGAAAAAACAGTATTGTAGCCCTAATGTATTACACTTTAGTGCTTTGGCTTAGAAATAATTCCCCAGAGTCTCGCTAAAATAGCAGTTCTCTGTTGAAGAAAAATGGAAAACAGCGGGAATTATAATAGAAAAGCAAAGTGGCAAAACCGTTCAAGATTGGTTCCAATATAAATGCAGCAAGTTAGAAAGAGAATGCTGAGTACGACAATGCAATTGTGTTCCCAGTACTGGTGCCTACTGTCTAGTCTGTGTTTGTTTTCCAACATGGGAAGCAATCAATCATAACTCAGCATCTGCCTTCTTTGTTCAATTGACGGGCCAAAATAAAATTCTTAAATTTAGATTACAACCCGGCTCCCAAATGTAAAGAAATATGTGGATGGTGGCACCTACAGACTACATCCCAAAATGAAGCAATTACAGCCCACAATACTGCATGTGAAAATAACATCTTATTCTATTCAAAATACTATTGAAGAACACTCATCCATACAATGACAGCGATACAGGCTAATCAAGGAACTAGCAGCAAGAAATATCACTCGCATCCTGCTGTCTGATTCTCTATCCCACATAGCAGTTCTGAAAACTTTCACTGCCCTAAAACAGAGAATGATGGCAGCAGCTACCCAAGAGGTCTTTCAGGATAGCTCACAACTTCAGTGTAACATGATAAAATAAAGTTTTACTGGCAAAGTATAGTTAAGAAAGGAAGTAAGAAATTAAGAAAGAAAATGATAAACAGACAATGCAAGGACAATTAAACAATTCCTATATCCTTCCTTCCTCCATCCTTCCCAGTTTTTAATTGCTGGCGACTGCCTGAACTACTCTCTGCAACTTTCACAGCAACATTTTTCAGAAGTGAATTAACATTGTCTTCTTCCTATGGCTCAGAGATAGTGAATCAGTGGTGGGTTGCCAATTTTTTTACTACCAGTTTGGGCGCACGCATGACACTTCTGCGCATGCGCAGAAGCATCCAGGTGAGTGGGCGGAGCTTCCCACCACTGCTACTACCGGTTCGCCCAATCCCGGCCAAACCAGGAGCAACCTACCTCTGTAGCGAATGGCCCAAGTTCACTCAGCTGGTTTTGTACCTAAGGTGGGACTAGAACTCAATCTCTCCCATTTTCCAGCCTCACGCCTTAACCATTACACAAACTGGCTCTGGTGCAGATATTTACATCCTAAAGGTGGGGAAAATAAAAAGAACCTTACCTTAGTAATGAAAGGAAAATAAAAAAGGCTAACAAGCAAACCTAGTTGGCATTAACCATTTTTAAAAGAATGCCAACCCTGAGCTTCACTATTGTTAGTATGAGCATGCAATCCTATGGCCAATTGTGCTTATAAACCAATGTCAGGGTATGAGTATTATGTAATAAGTAAAATTACTATTTGCTTTAGTCACCTTTGAAAATTTCAAAGAAGCCATCACTCCATAGCTATCAGAGCAGGATTCAAAAACAATCTGAGATTGTACTGTTTGTCTCAAGTTTATAATATTTTAAGAAGCTGACGTTCCTCCATATTTGTCCAATCAATTTGGTAACATAAAGAATGCTATTGGCTATTTCTTATTATTTTCATCCCTCCTACAAAGAGTGTCACTTTACACTGCTTTATTGTCTATAAATCCAAGACATAGATTTAGACCCCTCTGAGGCAAGATGCAGAACATTTCAACAAAAACCACACATGCATATACACACAAACACACTGATGGCAGTTATATAACTATTGTGAGACACACAGACTAGTCAGATTGTTCTTCACTAAAGAAGCAAATATGTGTGATATTCCCCCCTCAACTTCAGGTATTTGGGGAAATAGCTTTTGATAATTAATTAAGTCTGAAGACAATGTATTAGCTTGATGAGCATTGGGGAAAGTATTATTTTGTTCAAAACCACTGGTATTGTTTTAGATCAGTGTTCTCAATGTAGGCCATTTGGGGTATAGTAAGTTTTGGAGGGAGCCACCTAAACCTAACTCCCAGGTGTATGATCCATTTGTCATAAACCTCACATCTCATCCTGTCTGCTTATCTCAGCAGCAGAAATACTGAAAATTATTATACTTTACAATACATATGTACCAGGTAGCAGTCAGCATATTGGGGTCATCAGAGGTAAATGAGGCTCAGAAGAGAATCTTGAGCAAAATAAGGTTGAGAACCCCTTGTTTAGACAAGAACTCTATATTGTGTGGCACATGGATTAAAAAGTTGATCTGGGTCTCCCCAAGTCAAGTCAGATGATTTGGAGGTCAACGGGTGAGTCTGGCCGGTTACTCAATCTCAACCAAATCAAATTCACAGCTCAGGGAAATCCACAGCAGAATCCAATTTAATTCTGTCCTTAAAAGAGAGTGCACTCTATGGCTTAGAGAGGAGCCCTGCTCAAGAAACCAAGTTTCAAGAACAAGCTGCAAAGGCAAAATGAGACGACATGCTTGTTTCTGGTAAAGAGGGTCTTCTGGCTTCCAGGTCACTGCATCAATTCTCTTTTACATTAAGAGACATGTCATTGGAACGACAGTCCCATAAAAAATTTGGCCATTCTAACTTAGCAACACAGTAGAAAGCAGACCTACAATTCCTTACAGAGGGCTGATTTAAATTGTCTCCATAGGCCACGACTCCTGCTACAGATAGAGATACTCCCCACCCCCCCCCCCCCCCCCCGGATAATCACATTTTCAAGATTGTACAAATCTATTGGCTGGATGCCAATAGTCAAGATAAACTCACCTAAGCCTTTTTCTGTTTGGCAATTTCCCCTTCATTTAAGACTACTGAGAGAAGAAACCTTTCTTTGGGCAACCATGTGCTATGCAGCCTCTCTGCTCCATCCCTCTGGTCCTCTTTCCCCTGATGTATCACCCTAGGGCCAGATCACAATCTAGCTAACACATGCCATGGGGATAAGTGTTTATGTTTTGTTTTTAAGACGTATTGCATAATCTAACATGAAAGCCGAAATATTCTTCTCTGTAGCTCCCTAACTCTGAAGCATGAGAAGAGTACTGTTGAGAATTACATACCCTTCTACCACTGCTGAATGTAATCCTAGATTTATTAATCTGCAAGGATGGATCCTTGCCATATTTGCTTCCCCTGAATAGAGCTGGCAGACCTTCCAATTCAAGAAATTTAGTACAAACCATGCTTGCTACTTTAAAATACAGCCTTAACCCAAATCCATGCATTCCAGCGCAAAAAATATTCAGCTGCAGTGCACAGCCATCAGAAGAAGCAGGCAAATCATAAACTCGGAATAGGAAGAGGGTTTCCTTTCAACACAAAACGTGACAGGTTTTATCTACTGTATTTAATGCCGGTATCATTCACATAAGAAAATGCCATCTACAAGAAAGCAATCCTATCCCTAATCGGAGGACAGTTACAGTTCACCAAGGCTAGGGGCTCTTTCACATGTTCTCTCCCCCTTTCTCTTTATCTCCCTCACACACATACAATACATAGACAATCCCTGAAACATGTTAGTAACTCAAGAAACGATCCAGGAATTTTTGGGGTGGGGGTGGGAGCCATCTTGAATGAAAATATTAGGGGGGGGAAGAGGACCCAAAAAAAGGTTAACTTACTTTGCCACTTTTGGCTTGCTGAGACATCCATAGATCTGGCTGTTTGAAAAGCATCTGGGCTAAGACTGCTACACACCACTGGAAACCTTGAACAGCAACTTCCAATGCTGCTACCCACAGAGAAGCAGAGAGCAAGAGGGAGAGAGGAAGGAAGAGAGAGAGAGAGAGTGCACAGAGCACAGCGCTGCAGAGAAAGAGAGAGAGGAACAGCAGAGTGAAGCACTAAGCCACTGATTAATTCAGCCTGTTGCCAGTCACGCTGCTGAATGCTGGAAACAGAAGAAAGGGAGGAATGAGAAGAGAAAGATGGAGAAGTTCTTTTCCCTTGGTGGGGGGCAGGAGGATGCACATCAAACCAAATAATCCCCATGAACTATCTATGTAGAGATGGTATTAGGCTGAGAACCAGGTCATATACATGTCGAGCTGATGAAGGCTCAGTAGAGATAGGAGAGCTAGTCTCAAAAGGGAAAAATCAACCGTGGGAGCGGAGAAGGATTGGGAATGTTTGTACAAATTGAAAACATACTTTCATAAATAAGGGGGCAATCAAATGGCAGATTCTGTATTTCTCATGCCAATTATTTCAAGGCAATAGGAAAAGTCTAGAGATCCTCAATTTGCCGAGCTCTGTGGATATTTAGTGCTGTCTACTGAACATCCTTTTGCTCTCAGCAGGACTTCCCAGCAGTCATCCAAATGGGGAACAGCTTTTCTCCACCACCAAGCATCAAATATTCATATCATCTCAAGACGAGACACCAGAAGAAAACGCAATATAGTGTTATTAATAACAACCCAATAGTTCTGTGGCTTGCCACTCACCAAGACAACAATGCAGGGGACACGAGAAGGACATAGAGCTAACAAATAGAACTGTCATAATATTATACTCAAGTAGCAAAAAAGAAGAATTATATAACTGACAAGAGTCAGGCCAACTTAAGCTACATCCTATTCAAGGGACAGTGCCACACAACTCCTCTTAGGGGGCTTAGGATGTTAAAAGTTAACATTTTAGCCCTACTCAAAAATTGTGTGAATGACCAATCAACGTCAGCAACTTGAGTATAGAGTTGGTTATGCTGAATGAAGATCACCTGCTTTTTCAGCAATCTCTGGATGACTTTTTTTTCCTTATCCAACTATAAGGATCTCTCTAGCATGCATACTTTAGCATCCTAACCATCTCCAACTTTTTTGCCCAGTTGAAAAAAAGCAGCAGGTGATGTTTGCAGTGGTTTTGGATAGAAAATTCTTGCTGGGCGAAATTAACAATTCTTTTGAATATTGAACGCCAAGGGTTGTTGTTGTTTTTTAATATCCCCAAGGTCTTTCTGGTAGCCTTTCTACCAGTCTGATGAATTCAGGACCAGAAAGCTCTTTCAATCAACTCCTCTTCCTTCTTCTCCCAAAGCTTCTCTTCTAGTGCTGGATAGATAATTGTCTTGCCCCAAAGTTTCACACAATGTGCGGTCAAGAGTCACAATAATCAAAGGTGACTCAATATTGAGGAAAAAATAATATCTGTGGGATCCTTGATGCTCTCTGAGCTTGGAGGTTTTCTTGCTGCATTTCATTGCCAAACTAGGTAACACCATCAGTGCTAAAAGGGAGTGAGGTTTGCTCAAATGTTACCTTGCCATGAAAGAAAACAACCAAGCTCGGAGAGTACCAAGGACCCCACGGTTTAACCCACAAATATTCTCTTCTATTGGAATCATGGCTGTTACAGAATACAACATGAACAGCCGTCTTCCCTGACCACATAGCATTTAGAATCAGTGAATTGAAACTTCCAGAATTATCCTATGATCTTGTCAAGGCTGAAAAGTGGCAATAAAAGGACCAATCTTTTCAATTTAACATGTCAATGCACATACTACTCATCATGGTATAAAAAATAGAAAGAAAGAAGAAAGAAATCAGCCACGGTGGTACAGTGATTAGAGTGCAGTATTGCAGACTACTTCTGCTGACTGCCAGCTGCCTGCAATTTGGCAGTTCAAATCTCACCAGGCTCAAGGTTGACTCATCCTTCCATCCTTCCGAGGTGAGTGAAATGTGGACCCAGACTGTTGGGGGGGAAATATGCTGACTCTGTAAAACTGCTTAGAGCTGTAAANCTTGGTATATTTTATGATGAAGGACGTTTAAACAATTATAGTCAAATGAAAGGGAAGTATGATAACATGTATAAATATCTGAGTTAAAATACTGGAGTTAACATGAATTATGGTTGATGACTGTGGAAGAGATGCACAAAAGTCTTTTGTAACCACTGTTACACTTTTTACAGTATGTAAAGAAGGAGGATTCTTTGTGTTGTGTTTGTTTTAAAAATAAAAAAAAATATTTTAAAAAAAGAAAATACAGGTTAGAGTGGCCATAAGTCAGAATGAAAAGGAAGGATATGGTAAGCTCAATATTATGACCAAAATAAATATTTATCTCCAAAAAGATATTTAAAAACTACTTTATTTATTTTATGCCTCTTTAAATATTTGTATGAATAATTCAATACGGTGAACATTTTTGTTTTTGATTATTTATACCCATTCATTACTTCTACAAATAACTCAAAGTGGTGAACATGTCCAACACACCTTCGTCCTCCTATTTTTCTCACAACAATCCTCTGAGATGCGTAAGGCTGAGAGAGAGTGATGGACCCAGTCACCCAGCTGGCTTTAGTGCCTAAGGCAGGACAGCCTCTTTGATCTAGGCCAGCACCTTAACCACTAGACTAGACCAAACTGGCTATTATTAGAAGAGTGGATTTTCCCCAGTTAATGAAAAGAAGCAGCAATGTGAACTACTAGCAAGCCATGGGACTTTTTACAATCTTCCAACCATCCCTGTGCTAAAATAATCTCAAACCCAGAGAACTGATGATTAAAACATACTTAAAAAAAAAAAACTTTGGGCCTGTAGGAAGTTAGCACCCACCACTCTCCTAGAAAAATGAAATATTCTAGGGAATATTAAAAAGGCAGACTATTATATTTTCCTGGATGAGAAATGGAGAAACATGTTTTTAGGCAGGAAACAGACTCACTCTTAATAGTCCCCACCCTCATCAATAGCTCACAGCAGATGTCTGCACTTAAGAGATAAAGAGATAGCTAGGTCTATTCCTAGGCAAATGTCCTCACCCAAGATCCAACAAAAGTAGGATTAACCTTCTACCCATCTAGCAATAGAACTCACCACATGGCACCTGGCAAGATTATATCACCCAGCAAGGCTCAACCAAGCCTGGGACTACAGACAACCTACAAAGTTACCCCTGCATGGCCCCATGGGAATCTGACAACCAATCAGAATACAAGCTCAAATTCAAAAGCCCAGAGAGGTCATAAAACCCAGGCACTCTCAGCATCGCTTCCCTCTTTGTCCAGAACCTCAAACCATTTGATCCTGTCCACCATTAAAAACCATCTATCCAAACCATTGTTTCCAGTGTCTTTCTCCCCACTTGGAACTGAACCTAGATGGACATTTCTTCCAACAGGCCCCTAGATGCTACTGGATGTTGCATCTTAAGTAGCCTGTTTGGTAAGTTGGGAGAGTGAGTGCATTCAGAGAAGCATTGTGAGAATGGTGTTGGAGAACACACAAACCAGCATACAGCGACACTGCAGTTTAAATAGGCTTTTACTTTCGTGGAAATAGAGGTATCAGAGTCCTCAAACTGTCCAAGTCATACACGGATAAGACAGTCAGTCANGTGAAATGTGGACCCAGACTGTTGGGGGGGAAATATGCTGACTCTGTAAAACTGCTTAGAGCTGTAAAGCACTGTAAAGCGGTGTATATGTCTAAGTGCTATTGCTATTGCTATTGCTATTCTCCCAAAAGGATAACAAATTTAGGTGCATTAAAATGTGAGATAAATCCTGCACAAGCTCACTGTCTCAGCATTACAGTCAGTCTGCTTCAGGTCAGGCCCACCTAGAGATACCCTGGGCATGAGCCCAGAATCTCCTATACATGAAAAGAGACATCCCATGGACCTGCTCTCTACTAAGGAATGACTCCTGACAGGCTCCTCTTCCCTGAAAAAAAACACTAATTAATATTTGTGAGCTTTGATCTGCACAATCATCATAATCATTGTCAACTTTATTAAATTTACAGTATATCAGAAATTACAGGTGGAGGATCCAACGTTGCGACGCTACGGACGTGCGGTCTCAATGCTCCGAGACTGCACCTAATACTTTTGCTGCTGGGTGGTCCAATCGGACCTAAACCATCCTGCAGAGATGGTGAACAGAAAGAATATGTCTTGCTGACCTCAGGGATATCGTAAATCGATCGTCCCTGATCGATCCAAGAGAAGTTCTTCAAGCCGGCAACAAAAAATCCAGCCATTAGACTGGATGGGTGGCTCCAAAACAGAAGGATACAGAAAGAGAAAGTGTTTCCAGATGGTGAGGAATTTTTACTATTTTAAAAGAGGCTGCCTATAAAAAACTTAAAAGTTAATTTAAATTTGAGAACAGAAGAAATAAGCAGTTAAGCTTTGAATGGTTTTGGACAGTGGATTATCTTACTTTTTAAATGCTATGTTCATGGATGAAATTTATGCAAGCCTTTTAAAATAAATGGATTAAGTTTTCTTCTTGTATTTTTTTCTTTTATTATTATTCTTTGTAATCTATGGATTAAAATTCTCCTTCTTCATTACTGCGGGTGTTTTTCCCCTTTTCTTCTCTAACTCATTCAAGAATTTGACTTTTTTTCAACTTGGAATATAAAAAAGATACAAAAGGAAACAAAGAAAATTGTAACAACAGAGGGAAAGAAAAACACTGCTACTCGGAGGTGGGAGGTTTGTGTATTGGAAACAAAACACTTTTACTTTCCTCACTGATTATTCTGGCTTGGCACTTCAAGGTCTCAGTGTTTGTTTATAGAGAGTGATAAGAAGAAAAGCATACAGATGTTCCTTTGAAGTATATCTTTAACCAGAGAAAAGTGAAAATAAGACCTTATTATGAATTTATGCTTAATCTTGTAAAAACCTTCCAAACCAGAGCAGCAGTGTTTTTCAGCTGGAGATAATGGCGCAATCTCAACAGCAGAAAGAAACTTTGTTTGCAAAAGATGTTGTTAGAAATTCA